ATGCAAGTAGATTGCTACTGTTAGCAGGAGAAGAGGCACCCGTAACGCCTTCTCTACTCTCTTCTCTATTTTCTTTCTTCCTTCTTGCCCATCTTTCTTTTTCTATCATTCGGTCTCACCCAGCTTCCACTTTCCCAAAGGTCTTGAGGTGGCCTGCAAAATAAGCTATTACGTGTATTTAAATGAGTGAAGTGTGAAAATAAGTTCAGAAATTATGTAAAGAGGAAGATCACTGTACCAGGAGTCAGCAATGATGTGATCATGGTGGTCAAATTTGACAGAGTTTCCTGGCAGCAAAGCAAAAAGGGATATGCAGTGGTTTCTAAAGTTCTTGTTGTTCAGTCAGAAGCAAATTAACAATTCATCAAGGGGAAAAACCCCCTTTTTTTCTGGAACTAAAATGCAGAAGTGATTGATGAAGAATCTGAATATTCTAGTGGGCAGTGTCTGCAGACCAGTCCTTTGGCCAGGTGCAGTGGCGCATGCCTGTAATTCCAGTGGCTCAGGAGACTGAGGCAGGAGGATGACAAGTTCAAAGCTGGCCTCAGCAACTTAGTGAGACCCTGTCTCAAAATGAAAAATGAAAAAGGGCTGAATGTGGCTCAGTGGCTAAGTACCCCTTGGTTCAATCCCTGGTACCAAAATACAAAACAAAACAAAAAGAACATAATCTTTGTATGGTCCTTTTCTTTTCTTTTCTTTTCATAACAAATGTTGAATGCCTAATATTCCATCACATACCAGAGAAGACACTTCCCCAGAGTCTAATTTTGGACAGGGACATTGTTTTCCAGTCACCTGACTTGATAAGGGGTAGAGGTGAGAGGAGGGCAGAAGATGTTGGCATATCACTTGGAACTATTGTCCAAATACCTTCCAATTAATTCTTGAGAGCTGTGACTTATATTGTGCTCCTGGGTCATTCATTCAACAAACACTTTGGGACCAGTATGTTCCATGTTCTCAAGGCAACCAGGAGGGAGACAGACAAACAGCCATTATGTGTGATGGGAAGTATGATAAAGGAGGTCTTTCTGGAAAATACCAAGTGTGGAAGCAGAGTGAGAGGGTAGTTACTTATTTTTAGGGCTGTAGGGCCAGGAATGTCTTGGAGGAGGTGACATTTGTGCTGGTTTTTGCAGACAGTATAAGAGTTCTCTCAGTGACTGAGATGGGTTTCCAGGCCGAGGCAGGACAGGTCCTGGCGTGCCTGAGAAGCCTCTGGTGCAGTAATGCTCTGGGGAGCTCCCGATATTGGAAAGATGCAGTTGCCTTTAAAAAAAATCACTGGCAGCTCCAAGGGTTAGACAGTGATGAGGATTTGGGGAATAACTGGGCATAATGAAATGACAGCATCCCCTGGCTCATGCAGGAGCAGAGACGTAGAATCCCATCAACGAGGAGGGGCTGGGCTTCAGGCAGGACTGGCCAGGTGGTGAAGTGGGAGGCACAATGACAAGGGGCATCTGAGGCCTCATTCCAAGTCCCCCAAGCCGCAGCTCTTAGGGAGGTTTGCTTTACCTGCTGGGAGCCGGTGGGGGTTGAGTCTGGAGTTTTGGGACCTCCCCAGGTATGTGTCGCACAGTAGAAGATGTCTTGTCTTGAAGAGATGATCCAAACCCAGCCTCTGGAGTGACTAGATGAACTTGGATACTGAACTTATTGACTAAAGCAAAATCAAATAGCAATTTCCATCTGGAAAGTAAAGACACTCTGAGGTGGGGTTGACAGTCCCTTCTGAGGTTCTCCAGGGCATTGGTGCCGCACCTTTGGGGGAAGCAGACTTCCCCTTGAAGATCATACCAGAGAGGGGAGGCTGGAGGCCGGGAAGGGAGCAGACCTGGGATGGGTGGGGAGGGCGCAGGTGCATTGACTCAAGGCTGGGGTGCCACCCGGCTCCGAGGGAGCACTCACTCACTGCGCAGCCGCGTGTTCATGTGCACCCCTTGTGGTCAGATCCCAGTTGTCTACCTTTCCACTTTGACCCTTTATACTTTCGCCCTCTCCAGCTAGTGCATGTGTCCTGCCTGTGGGTCACTCCTGTCCCATCACCTCGGAGCCTTCCTCTAGTTGTTTTCAGCCTGGTCAGGGATTGCTCATAGCAGGGTAAAAACAGCCTGCCCCAAGACCTTTCGTGACTACTCCCTGCCCCGTGAGAATGGCTCTGTGCATTTATTTTTCTTGGCTGGAATTTCTGGGGGCCATGTGTCTTTTCTCTTGGGATTTGTCCAAGAACAGGTCTGGTCTCACAGCCCATGTAGAACACAGGAGGGTTGAATACTGGAAGGAGCACAAATCCACTATGCTCAGGCCTCCAGCAGGGTATCTGGGAACCCGTCCCCAGGGACCCAGAAACTCTAGAAGATGCCACCTGAGAGCCTTGCAGAGGCGTTTTGACCTCCATCTTTGCAGTGCACTAAAGGAGCTGCTTCCCGTGAGCTTTACTTCCAAATCCATCATTAGCAAATTAGGAGACTAATGCCATGACCAAGTTCCATCCTACAGGAACCAAGTCTAGACAGTGACCTTTCCCCAATGGCTCCCTGCTGCATGCAATGAAGGTAGTGTTTTCCCAACACCGCTGGCCATAACTTAGAGCAAGAAATGGAGTTTTATCTCCATCTAACACACATACAGCCACTGATATGTGCAACAAAGATTCATAAACTAGGTCTTGCCTTTTCTACGTGTGAGAGCCTTGGATATTTTCTGTTCTCTTCAATTTTCGTTTCCCTTAAAAAAATAGTTGGGACCACCATATTGATCTCACCACCTCTTAATGAGTCAGGACCAATAGTAGTAAAATCATTAGGGTCATTGTCAAGACTATGAAGTTTGATGGACCAGGGTCGAATCCTGGCTCTGGGACCTAAAAACTGTGTGACCTCAGGCAAGTCACTTCCTTCTTATAATAAGAGTCTCGATTTCTCCATCAGTAAAATGGGGACAACGTAGGCTATTTCATGGGCGACTGTGAGGATGAGGTGGGAGGACACAGGTAACGCTTCTGGTGTAGATAGAGTAAGTGGCTGATAAGCTACTGATGTGCTGGTGAGGTTGCTGTCTCCCGGTACCAACTGGCAGGGCCAGCAGGTAGAGTGGGACCTGTGCCTCCCAAGTAATTGTAGTCAGGAAAGGCTGCTGGAGGAGGAGCCCTATATGAGCAGCTGGGGACAAAAAGGCCCTCAGTCCCTCTTCTATGAAGGACAGGCTTATGCCCAAGGACTTTTGGCTGGACATAGAGCTGGCCACATTAGATGCCTTTGCTTTTTGCATTTAGGTCTCTAATCCACCTGGGATTGATTTTTGTGTCTGGTGTAAAGATCCAATTTCTTTTTTCTCCTTGTTTCTGAATGGATAACCAGTTACCCCACACTGTTTATTAAGGAGTCCATCCTTTCCCTCTGATTTGTACGTCTCCTCTCTCATAGATCAAGGTTCCATATGTGCACAGATCAGTTTCTGGCCTCGGTTCTGTTTCATTGGTCTATTTATCTGTCTCTGTGCCAATACTGCACTGTCTTAATTACTGCAGCTTCATAGTGATTCCTGATGGAGGTAGGCCCGCCCTCCGGCCTTGTTCTTCTCCCTTAGAAGTCCCTGGGCTCACTTTGGGCCTGGGCTCTTCTCTACGTGTTTTGGCATCAGCCTCTGCTGGAAGATGATGGATGAGCCCAGGGCATTCTGGATCAGCTGTCCTCAGGAAGCATCATCTCAGGGCCCCGGGGCCTGCAGCACCTTCTGGACACATGGCTGCCATCAACCCTGGTTGGCGTTGAAGCTGCCTGGGAAGTGCTTTCTAACTGATTTACAGAGAAAAGTGCCAGGATCATGCCTGACCTGAATCCCTTCCGCCTGCCCCTTGCCCAGTGTCTGCTTTGGTTTCCCTCTGGTGGCTTAGTCCTCAACATCCTACCCCGGGGGCCTGCAACCCCTTACAGAAAACTGCTTGCTTCTCTGTCCCTGTGTGCCAAGGACATAACCTTGGACACACAAGGATGTGTCCCCCATGGCAATGCCAAGGTCCTGGGAAGCTCCCCACACCAAAGCTTGGCAGGCATAGCCAAAGTCTTTGGCTTAAGTGTTTGCAAATGCTTTCTTTAACCAAAAATAGGCGTGGGGTTTGGTGAGAGGAAGGGATGCGTGGCTCATGTTTGTAATTTGATCTTCCTTGAATGGGAAGATGAAGTTTGGTATCTTCCCTGCTTCCTCTGGAGGCCATTCTGACACGGCTTGGATGGCAAAGAAATGACTCGTGGTAGGCTCTGATTTCATGAAATGGCCTAAAGAAAGGAGCATGGCCACTGCACGGGGTTGGCATGGACTTGATGAGTGGGACTGTGCACCCCAGGGTTTCCAGCATCCAGATGATTACTTGCTTCTAGAATTTAAAACCATTTGCCAAACTGACTCAGAGAGCTTGATGTATGGGATTTATGGTGACAGTTTATGGTAACTCATCCCCTGAGCTGATATTCTGCCTGTTCTATCATGCATGAAGCCCTTCTACCCTTGGGCCTCAGTTTACCTGTCTGTGAAAGAGGGTCTAGCCCGGATGAGCTCCCAGTTTCTTTTAAACCCTTGTTTTTACAGTTCTATCCTGTGGAATAGAGAGCACAGAAATCAAACACACTGTTCTGACTGCTATTTATACCTGGCTTTGGTTACTGATAACTCCTTCTTGGCATTGAGGGGGACGGATGCCTCTGGCTATTTAGGTCTGGGCCAGGGGAACCTGCAGGCCACAGGGTCTAATTTCTTGAGAAATTGCCCTGACCCCCGCTCCCCTCTTCACCTGGGGACCGTTGTTACTTGTGGGCAGCTCTCCTTCTGTCGAGCCGAATCCATCCTTTCAACAGCAGAGGAATCATGAGCCCCCGTGGGCCTCAGCACAAGCATGGACTAGCCCAGCTGAGTGGCTCAGCCCAGAACATGGTGGTGGCGTCTGATTAGGGGGCTTCAGAACGGGGGTGCTGAGGTGTCTCTGCTTCCTCTTTCAGACCACCGAGTATTCAGCCATGGCCTCACTGGCCGGAGGACTGGACGACATGAAGGCCAACCTGACCAGCCCCACCCCTGCGGACATTGGGAGCAGCGTGCCGGGCCCACAGTCCTACCCCATTGTGACAGGTGAGGGTAACAGGGATGAGGGGAAGAACGGCTTCTTGGTGCTTTTGGACATGACTGGCCATTTACTTAAATGAGGTTATGAGGTCCTGGAACAGGTCAGGGGGAGACTGCTGGGGCTGCAGTTTTGGCTGTGATGAGACATAATTGTACATTGTTCTGATAAAGCCAAAAGAGAACAACAACAACAAAAATTGGGGGGGCAGTGCCTGTGAGTGGGGTCAAGTGTTCAGAAGTCTGGGATTTATCCCTCTCCTAAGCCAGGCAGCCCTGCTTGGTGCCAGCTTCAGGGAGGGGTGGAACCCTTCCCAGGTGGTATTTCGATTTTCTAGACAGGGGATGAGTCAAGGAGGCCAGAGGCTTAGGCTGGAAGATGCTGGGTAGGTGCCAAGCAACTGCCTTCTTGGAAGGCCCAAGGCAGCCAGGATGTTCACTGTCCATTTGAAGATTGAGTCTGGGCCCTGGGGCTGGGGTGTAGCTCAGTGGTTGAGCACTTGCTTAGCATGAGCCAAGTTCTTGGGCTCTGTCCCCAGAAGGCAAAGCAAAAGAGTTTGGCCCTTCCACTCACAACTGGGTTTGTACCTGCCTCTTTCTAGCTGTGCAATCTCAGGTGAGTCATGTAAGAATTCTGGGCTGTGGTTTTCTGATCTGTATGATGGGAATAGCAAAATCCTGCTGCCCAGGGCTGCTGGGAGGATGAACACATTCCTGGGTATAAGGTGCTTTGACTCTTGCCTGGCACACAGTAGGTACCCAAGAAATGGAGCTAATGTTACCCCTCTCTGAACCCTTTTATGTGGCCTGTCACCGTTGGGCTTGTTGCTGCAAAGGACCCCTCTCCATAGCTCCATCGCTCTTCCCCATGGAACCCCAGGAACAGGCTCAGCGGCCATCTCCAGGGGGTTTCCCAACCTGGCAGGCAGGAGATACAAGTAGACAGTGGGGGACTGATGGGCTACTCTTGGGCTTGAGCACTGGGTGGGGGTTTGGCCCGATCTCCCCACAGGCTGGTGTGCAGAACACAGTGAGTAGTGACAGAGATGAGGAGTTCTCAGATGTGCAGGTGGGCTGTGCGTGCATCAGGGATGCTGAGAACTGGATCTGGGTTGGAATTTTAGTAGTAGGGATGGGCGAGATAGGAACTTAGTCCCAGGCATGCCTTAGGCCAGAGCAGCAAGGCAGGGAGGGCCAGCTGAGGCCTGAACCTGAAGGCCAGTACTGGGGCTCAGGCTGAAATAGCTAGGGCCCTGTTTGCAGGTCTGGATACAGGTGGTCAGATGGGCTGGCAAGAGTGAATCGATCCCAGTGCACCTGAGGTGGGGTGGAGCCTGCAGTGCAGCTGAGCTGTGGGTTGGGAGAGGTGAGCAACGGGGTAAGGAGCCAGGGAGCTTCAGTCCGAGTGAAATTTTACACAGACGTTGAATGAGGTCTTCTCTGCTGGTGTCAGCAGGGTCCATGACAGGACTTCTCCCAGCTTCCCATTTTGCCCAATTTAAGGGGTAAGGAGAAGAGTTCAGTCCCCTAGAACCTGATCCTTATTCTTTTCAAGGAAGCACAATTAGGGAGGTGGGGGTGGGAGAGTGGAAAGAAGACTAGACCAGCTTGTAATAATCGTCACGGTCACTTCCTTGAGTGCTTACTGAGTGCTAGCCACTCTGCTAAGTGAGTTTGTTTTACCCTCAGGAGAACCCTGGGAGGTGGGTCCTGTTATAAGCATGTCTGTTTCTTGCCTAAAGAACCAGGACAGTTGAATATTTTGGCTAAGGTCATAGGTAGTGATCAGTGGCACTGCAGTGGACACCAGGGATTATGCAGCTGTCCTCTCTACCACACAGGTAATCTGGGGGCCCATCTGCCACTTCCTTGCTGTCTGCCTTTGGAAAACTGAGCCTCAATTTTCCATCTGTGAAATGGTCCTGGTCTTTCTGGGTCCTTCCGATGATTAAGTGAGATCTCAGAGGTGACCACACTGCAGAGAGAGGGCTTGTGATTAGAATTGGGGTTCAACCAAAAAAAGAGAACTGGGACTCATGCGGAACTTGGGCTTAGGCAAGTCACAAGAAGACTTTACATCTGTTTGTGCACATCCTTGTGGATAATAATCCAGTGAATCAAGGCCGAGGACTCCTTTCTGAGGTGCATGTCTATAGAAGTGGTCAGCTAGTGAAAAGAATCATCTATCACATAGATATGTCTAATTGCCTCACACAGGGCTTTAAGAAAATTTGAGCCACACTTAAAAAATAATATGAATTTCTGGCTTCCCTTAAAAAATTAGAAGAGCAGTACCACTGGGCCATCTCTCACATGGCCATGGGATATTAGTGTCAGCAGCAGCGGCCTCTCAGGACAGGCCTGCACAGCCCTCAGCCAGCAGCTCCCGATTTATCCTGCAATCCCAACCTGGAGAAGCACTGGAGTTGAACAGCCTGACCTACAAGGTTGGCGCTAGGGCAACGGGTGGGTTAAGTGTCCTGGCACCTGCAGAGGGTGCAGCAGGCCTAGGCAGCAAGTCTGGGTGTGGATTGTATTTTCAGGTAAAGGGCATTCATATCTTAAAGTCACATAATAGAGTAGGAAAAGACTGTAAGTATCCTAAAGTCATAAATATGCTTAATTTTGAAGAATTAAGAATAATCTATTATCAATATAATCACTAGGTTTCTTATAAACAAACAATAGCATAATAGGGAAAAAGAGCTCATCAACAACAACAAAAAAATAGAGAATACTTAGGAATAAACTTAAACTCCACTGAAGGACATAAATGGAAAGATGTTGTTTGTTCTTAGACTGAAAATCATGAAGATGTCCATTTCCCCTAAGTAGTCCTTTAGTTCAAAGCAATCTCAAACAAAATATTAACAGATTTGAGGTAGGAGACTTTGTCCAAATGATGTTAAATATTGGATACATAATTACCCTAGGATAGTTAGAAAAATTCTGCAATTAAAAAAATGGGTAGAAGCCCTAGAACAGTTAAAAAATACAATAAAGTTCCAATAACTGAAATTGTTCTTGGAAGTAAAGTTTCAGACAAATAATGGATCTGAGAGTCCAGAAACAGATCCAAATATATGTAGGTGTTTATAAATGCAGCCTATTGGACCCCTACCTCACTTTTGTTTGGAGGAGTACCGGGGATTGAACTCAGGGGCACTCAACCACTGAGCCACATACCAGTTCTGTTCTGTATTTTATTTAGAGACAGAGTCTTACTGAATTGCTTAGCACCTCAGTTTTGCAGAGGTGGGCTTTGAACTCATTATCTATTGCCTTAACCTCCCAAGCTGCTGGGATTACAGGTATGTCCCATGGCACCTGGCTACTTCATTCTTTATATCAGAATAAATGGTTGTTGAGGTGATTGGACCATCACACATTGTACGTGTGTATCAAAATACCACAGTGCATTCCATAAGTATGCATAATTATATTAATTAAAACAAAAACTTCAAGTTGATCAAAACTTTAAATGAAAAAAATAAACTAGGGAAAAACATAAGGGAAAATCTTTATAATCTTAGGAAAGGCCTTTTAAAAATATGTTGCAAATAGGGGCTGGGGTTGTGGCTCAGTGGTAACTCACTTGCCTAGCATTTGTGACGCACTGGGTTCGATTCTCAGCACCACATACAAATAAATAAAATAAAGGTCCACCAACAACTAAAAAATATTTTTTTAAAAAAGTATGTTGCAAATAAAGATAAAATATAAATAACTGTTAAAATGGTGAATTTTTTGTATGTAGGTAAAAACACCAAAAGAAGTTGAGTAAAGTGGCGCACATCTGCAATTTCAGTGACTTGGGAGACTGAGGCAGGAGTTGAAATTGCAAATTCAAGGATAATCTGGGCAAATTAGCAACACTGTGTCTCAATATAAAATAAAAAGGACTGGGGTTGTGTAGCTCAGTGGTAGAGAGGCCCTGGGTTCAATCCTCTGTACTGCAAAAAACCAAACCAAAACAAAACAAAACATCCAGAAGACAACGAAAAAAATTGAGAGGCAAAAAGTAGAACACAGGTAATAAAGAATTTCTTTAATATGCAAAGAACTTTTAAGAATGATTAAGAAAAAAAAAGTCAGTAGAAAAGCCAGGCAAAGTGTATGTAGAGGTAATTCAATGGGAAAAAATGCAGATGCCCCAATAGTAAATAAAAAAAATGTGGATCTGATTCATAATTTTAATGCTGCAAATTAAAATAATCATGAGACACTTAAAAACAATACCATTAGCTTTTTTAAAATTAAGGTTTGGTGTTGGAAAAGGTATGAGAAACATATTTTTTATATATACTGTAATAGGATTATAAATTGATGTAATTTCTTATGGGAGGGAAACTTGTAATAACTATAAAATTTTTCAATATACATACCTATTCTCTGACCTAGAACTTTTATATGCATTTTAAGGAATTCTTCTCACAGATATATTCACACAGGTGCACAATGATATCTACATATGTATAGTAGTCATGAAATTATCATAATAACACAATAAATAGAAACAATATAACTTCTATAAGTAGGAGCTGGCTAACTAAATTATGACTTTTTTATACAATAAAGTACTATGAAACCATCAAAAATAAGTAGAGCTATCTGTACAGACATGAATAAATGTCTGAGATACATATTTGAGTAGAAGTGAGCATATGCTAAGTATACTCCCATTTATATAAAAGTATAATACAATATTATAATATAGAGACAGTGCAAAATATAATACAAAAATTATATTGTGGTTAATGGAACCATTGTATGAACCCACAACACATATGCACACACACATGCACACACACACACATGCGCACACACACACTATATCAAGATACTTGTACGTGATATTCGGTAGAAGATCTCTACACCCCTTCCTCTGCTTTATGGAGCATTGATCACATACTAAGGATAAATCAAGTTGGCATTCTACCCAGTCCCACCCAGAGTCCCCTTGGGATAGTGAATGTTTACAATATCCCTTTACTCTCCTGAAATTAAAT